GTGAGTTGACCTCTAAGGAAGACTACTGGTTATGATTTAGATTATGTCTGATATTTTTTGAGTAGACACTTCTAATAAAGTTAGTCTCCACCTGAATTTCATCTCACCTCTGTCAGCCATATATTCATGCTTTTCTCATGACTTTAGTTGGTTAAAAAAAGATGTAATAGCCAGTGCAAAAGGGAGACAGGTTGTTTGTTTTGAAAATTCCACTTACCTCCTTTTTCAGCCAGTCATTTTCCAAAATTTCTCGATAACTGCCCCTGTCAATGAACCCTATAGCATTCTAAAAGAAAGTTTCTGTATTAAGGAAGAGTTGTTACAAAGAGATTCACAATTTTAGCAATGGCGATACACAAGAAACTTATTTTATCATTGAAATTTATGTTCTTCAGTTACTTTGGGAATATACTTAAGAACCTTTGATTTAGTTGTTTGGTGTTATCCTGTTGAGTTGTTGTTTCTGATTTACACTATTTGATATAAGTTCCTTGGAGAACTGGATAATGGTATGACTGTCCATCAGTGTGGCCTGAATCAATCATTGTGACTGAATCTACCTGCGACGATAAAGTCAATCATTAAGTTATCTCTATCATTAAGATATCTGATCTGCAGGGATTATTCTCCAAGCTTCTTCTAGTCACAGACATAATCCAACATACAGAAAACACATGAATATAGTGCATTAATATATCTTTTTCATTTGATATATTCCTGTATATCATTGGTAATTATGTACATATTTCCAATCCCAAAAACAAATAGTGTAAAGGTATTAGGAGAATTTCCTATGGGGGGAAAAATGTTTTTCAGATGATGAAAAAGTTTTATTTAGTACTAGGTTCGCTACTACTTAGATATTTACAGCTTCCCCCAAATGAGGTTTAGAGTGTTTAACTTCATATTTATCTCTGAGGTACTTGTATATGATGTCAGCCAACAAACAAAATATTCAATAATTCAAAGACAACCAAAAGAAAAGAAAGGAAGAAAAATAATCCAAATCACAAACATGGGCAAAAACAATTCAAGTAAAGGGTAAACATTTTTGTTAATGGCTTTAGAGTTGAAAAAGTTCTAATCAAGAGTAATTTTAAAATCATACTAATTAACCTAGGAATAAAACTATATTTCCTAGGAACCAGGAATTTCATACTCCAACTCTAACTGGTAATTCTAAAGTTGCTTCTAACATATACTTTTATTCATAAAAAGAGCAGCCCAGGACAACACTGTAGACACAGTGTGGGAATTGCGCCTGATCTGATCCCATCACACCGAGGCAAACCACTAAAGACGTGCAACAGAAAAGCAAGGGGAACAGAGCAAAGAAGTCCCCAGGGAATACCAAAAATAGACTTTGGGGCCAGGGCTTGGCACCCCATCAGACTCTACTGGAAAACACTCCTAAAGGCCAACAAGCAGTCCGTGACCTAACTACAGGCTTTTATTTGTTGTTTTTTATTTTTGTCATTGGCTTTTTGTTGTTGTTTTGTTTTCTTTTGTTGCTTGGTTTTGCTCTGTCTTGTTTTTGTGCATGTTATTCTCTCCGGAGATCTGTCTAAATAAGATAGGCTGGATGAACAGTCTGGAGGAGAAAACAATGGGACTGACGGTTCTGGGGGGATGTGGGAGAGGGGTAGGTGGGGGAAAAGGAAGTGGTGTTAACAAACCCAGGGACAAGGGAACAACAAGTGATCCAACAGGGTGGAGGAGGCCTGGCAGGGTGTGATCGAGGGTAAT